GGGCGCCACCAGCCCCAGGAAAGGATTCGAAGGGGAAGGAGCGAAGTCTCCCACCCGGAGCTGCCCGCCGTGCCCCGGCCCGGGTTTCTGTTCGTTTCCCAACGTAAAGGGGGGGGGAAGGAAGAGGCGGCGGCTGACCTTGCCCAGCAGCTCCTGGGGCAGATAGGCAGAACTGGGCCTGAAGAGAGAGCCCGTCTGGGTGAGGGTGGTCACAATCGCACCTCCGCTCTGAAAGGCAGATCAGAAACCTTTTAGCTGCAAACGTAGTGGTTGTGGAACAGGTATGTATTGATGCTAAACAGGCAAGGGACCTTCTCTGATCTTACAGTTCCTTCAAGTCCAAAATTCTGTGTAATGGGCTTCTTGCAATGCCCCTCGCTACGGTACGGTAACCCTGGCTACTGCCAGGCACACCCACAGCACAGGGAATGCACGGCTAGAGTTCCCAGTGCTGCCACTTAAACGTGCCTGTAAATGGCTTTCTACTGAAACCACTGAAATACTTTAGAAAGGACTTTTCTATATACTTTTAAACCTGAAGAACAGCTGATATTACAGACATTAGCATCCAGGGACTGAAAACGAAGCGGGAGTTGACTTCCTACAGCAAAACATGTAGAAACTACAAGTTCTCGTTTGTTCAAAAAATCACGAAACCAAGTGTCATAAAGGTTATGAAATACCTTGAACTCAGGGAGATGATTATCGTGCCAAATGCCGGTTTAAGAAAAGCATTGTTACATATTTGGCCTGTTCTTACTTCCTCTGGGTGACGCCAGGAGCACTGATGCGATCCTGACCCGGAACAGTCGCACTACGCCCGCGTGCTCCTTCACTGAAGGAACAGTGGGATGGTGGATTCGGAGCTTTACGCTCATCAGCCTGTAGCTTTAATTGCTGAGAATAACACACCCCGAGGCACAGACGGGAACTCACCCAATTATTCATCATCATCTTCCTCAGATTGTACACAAGTGTCAGCTCCTCCGGAGAAACCTGGTGAGGATTGTCTGTATCACTTTCTTTGCCCGCTGTTTCTATCAGAGACATAAATTCCCCTCCCCTGCTTTCAATTAGACGGGAAGGATCATTTGCATCCTTCAGGCACCTTCTCCTTTGCTTTTACTTAGCCCTGCAGCATTCAGCCTCCGAAACGTCACACAGAGAAATGCCCAAACCTTTCCCGCTCTAACGGGACCCACAGGCACCGTTTTCGTACTGAGACCTTCCTGCGGTAAAAATGCTAAAGCACAACATGAATTTTGCGGGTCCCTCCAAGCAAAGCAGATGGAGGGGTTACTATAGAACACAGAAATGAACAGAACACCCTCCCCTGCTCTCCCTCATCAGAGCAGATCCCTTCTTACAGGGCTTTTGTCTTCTTTCTTCAACGTAGTCCTTCCCCAGAGCGCGTTGACGCCGTCCACCGCCACGAGAAGTCGGAAGGAGCCGAGGTGACTTTGCTGCTTTAGCTCTTTCAGCACGACCCCGACAGCATCGCTGGCATTTCTCACACGAGCTAAACCCTTGAAGTAGGAAAAGGCACGTGACTCGGGGCGGTTTTCTCGTTAGTGTGTAACGCTGGCAACTTTAGGCACTGCCTGCCCTTTCTGAGGGGGAAGGAAGCTGAAAAGACGGTCAACAGGCTGTTCGCTCCTTTCAAATCCGGTCTGAGGTACTGAGCAGCAAAGCTGTGGGAACTTAATTTTTGCTTCTACCCAACTTCTCTGTACCGGTTCCTTTAGAGACCCAGCACACGTTCCCCAACGTTTCCTGTAGCCGCCTTGCTGCCAGGGAAACACCTTCCATTTCCCAGAACTCTGTCCTACAGACCCCACGATGGGATTTTCCCATAAAAGGCGAGACCCAGCCAGAAGCAGTTGTGATTCCTTACCTGCTCCACCACTTCTCCCAAGGGCCGGCCCTCCTCAGTGCTCTCCTGTTTGCCCCACACGTATTTTTTTTGTGTTTTTATCTGCAGTAAGAGAACGACGATGAGGTGGGGAACTGAGCAGTGCAAAGGCAGCCTGGCAAGGCTGGGCGGCAGGATTCCTGGGTCTTTGCCAGCGTTAAAGACCAGTGCAGAATCTGGGAGAAGCATTCATTGCAAATAGCCGTCCCCGCAGGGGGGACTGAAAGTACTTCTTTTTCTCCAAAAAATGAATCCCAGTGAAGGGCAGGGTCTGGGGGTTTGGGTGCAGCGTCAGTGCACGCCTTAATGCACGAAGCATTCCTCAAAAATGAGGAAATGCAGAATTTGGGTCAAGGTGCTCAGTGACAGGAAGCACGTGCACGTGCCGTCCCCGAGAGGTGACCCCGTGGGCGGTTCTTAGCTACTAACCCAGCCGACCTGCCAGGCTCTACAGACCTCTCTTAGGAAGCGCTCGTTGGAGATCTTGAAGTTCTTGAGCCAGAAAGATGCTTGCAAGGGCTGATCAAGCCGTTCTTTGTTGTAGGAAGACTGCATAAGCTCCTTGCAATTTTTCACCCAGAGATGAGCTGTAAGCAAAATAAAACAGTTGTGGGTTTTTTGGTTTTGTTTTTTTTTAGTCAAAATAATGGTATGAGTTGGGGGGGGGGGGTGTGTTTGTATCTCTCATCCTTATTCTGCTGCACTGGTAAGAAAAGATCTCCATCCTTAACGGAGACCTCTCCCTTGAGAGCAGAGCAGGTCACAGACCCCCAGGCAGCATCTCTCCTGTCACACTTGTTAAGTGGGGAGAAAAAGACTGGCCATAAGCAGGGGAGACTAACTGCAGTTATGTTCTCGTTTATTTGAGGGGGAGTTATGCTTTCTAAGCCTTCTCCACTATGGAAAAAAACACAGATGGTTTGCTGTGGCCGACCCTACACCTCTCTCCTGAAGCAGCATCCCCCGGCTCAGCGCGTGTGTTTGGTTTAGCAGCACAGCCAGCACCGGTGTTCTTACCGTCTGGGACGTGCAGCACCAGCCAGCCTTGCCTTGCGCAGTAGTGAACCACGTGACACAGGGTCATGGTTTTCCCTGTTCCTTTCTCACCATCTGCAACGTGGACTGTCAAGGAAAGTCTCTGAAAAACCACTTTGGTTTATACTTGACTGTAATTCTTTTGCAAAAGGCCTAAGGGAAGTCCAAAGGGTGTAAAAGCGAGGGTGGCATTCCGTCATGCTGCTCTCCAGGAGCAAACCTACCCTAGAGAGCTCCTTCTCTCTGCATCCCCCCACCCCAGTACATCAGAGCTGATGATTCCCGTTCCCTTAGTGGTGCTCAGAGCCCTGTTTGTAGATCTGTACCATAAATCTGGCTTAGAATAAAAGTATACAAGCTTCGGGGACTTCTCAGGCTAGCTTTGCTGACAAGAGACACGTGGCAGACCCACCTCCTGAAGCCTGAACCACAGTGGTCAGCAGAGGATCAAAACGTCACCCTCATCGGCGTAAACCCCTGCTTGTGTTTAACCCGGTGAAAGATACAGATGACGTATCTGACAGCCGGGTGCGCGAAGTTGGAGCTTTTCAGGTAAGCGAACAGCTCCAGCGCTGGCCTGCGCACCATCAGGCAGGCTTCGTTGAAGGTCTTAATCTGAGAAAAGGAACAGAACGTGGACGAGCAGCCAGGTGCCGGCACACGGCAGCCGTTCCCGGCACGACTCCATCCCTGGCTGGTTCTGTGCAGGGTCTGAGCGTCCGCTGCCCTCCCCGGGTCTACCAGGCCCGTCATATGATCACAGAAGTTCATCAGGTTGCTCAAGTGTGACTTCCCCACGAAGCCGTGCTGACTACCCCAATGACTTGCTTGTCCTTTGTACGCCTGAAAACCGTCTCCAGAATTAGCTGTTCCCTCCCGTTCCCAGAGAGCGAGGTGAGGCCGACTGGCCTGTCCCTGGACCAGAAGTCAGTCACCTAGATTTACTGACTGACAGGTCAATCTCTTCCTAAACGCCAGCAGGCGCGTCTGCGTTGGCTCCTCACCAAGCCTGATCCGGTCCCAGCATGATCTGTCTCACAACAGGAATCAAGAGGCAAGATGGTTTTGTGGCCAATACAAACTTATTTCATGAGCCAGCCTGTTTCATACAGAAATGTAACTGTGCAGAGTACTTCTGTACGTCCTTAGTGCTCAGAAGTTAGAGATGGAAAGTACTGGATAGGATGTTGCCTCAGGTGGAACCCTCCCACCTTCTGCCACTACTCTGGCTAGGCTGACTCCCGTCTTTCAGATGTAGAAAATACCAGTAAGGACAGGAAATAATTGCATTCTTGCAGCACGTCACTCTCTCTTATTCCAACAGGAAAGCACTGTAGTTACCTGACAGATCTGGTTCTTCCCACATCCCAGACCACTCCCTACAAATCTGCTCTGAGACAAAGTACCTGCTGCTGGAACCGACGGGGCAGGCCATGGGGAAACACGGCTTTCACCTCCTCAAGCGGAATGCTGTAGTGACGACCCTCGTGCTGCTCTGTGTGGTTGGCCTGGGAAGGTAAAATGCAAAGGGGAACACTCAGGGAAGTCTGACACCTCTTTTCTGGATACGGGAGGCCCATGAGAGGTGAACAGGGAGGGGGCACTCCATCAGTGCAAGTACCTGCTTGCGGAGCGTCAGCAGAACCAGGCTGACAGCAAAGCAGCGGGTGTGGTATCAGGACACCGCGGGCAGAAGCCCAGGCAGAGTCCAAGGAAGGGATATCCCCCCTGGCCAGCAACACTCAAGGGATTCCTTGAGCTTGGACATGAACTGTTGTGTGGGCACAGGCAGCCCCACGCTTCGTGAATTTACCTAACCTTTTACCAGCCCGCTGGTACTTCTGGGCACCACAGCACCTTCACAGCAACACGATCCCCTTTTGAGTTACAGGCTCGATTCAAATTTACTTTCTCCAAGTCTGTGCCCAGTTGTGTTCCCTGGTTTGTTCTTTGCTGTCTCTCAGCAATAGTTCCCAATATGCCATTTGCCCCGTTCACTAGTACTGGTTGCTCAACAACTCACGATCTGTTTTCTGGGGGAATCATTTCCAGTCCCTTGTTGTGACAGAAGTGGTCGGTATTATTCCTCCAGCGGACTTGTACCGTTCTGCATCTATCGACAGGGATTACTCTAAGATCTCTGACTGTGCACTCTAAGAAGCAGTCGTTAGTGGTATCCGAAAATTTAACACCTATTTCATGCCTTGTTTTGCATCCTGGGGTTTTCCCCTCATCAGTCCATTTTCCTACCATGCAATACTCCCAAAGCACTTATTTACTCTTGGTCTTGTCATCAGTTTTTATGTCTTGCAGAGTCAGGACAGTACACAGAGACGCTATTCTGCAGGGCTTCCTGTGTGACTTCCAGCAACTTTTGTGCCAGGCTTTGTCTGGCTTTTTTAGCGGCCTTGTGCCAAGCTCTGAAGCTTGTGTCACGTCCTGCTCTACACCTTCTGCACTCTCCCATGGATTCAAAGGGAAAAAAAAAAAAAAATCCTCCTCTTGTCCTTGTGCATGCCAATCTCTTGATTCCATTTTGGTTGAGATGGAATCAGAATATAACAGCTTCCTTGTTTTATTGATTTTGCATAATAATGATCCAGGAAAAGTAGTTTTATTTACTATTCAGAAAGAAAAAACAGCAGTCATTATTTCTGCCAGCTTCAGGAGATTTGGGGGCTGATCCAGACTTTCCCTGTATTCCTTATTAGCTTTGGTGTAGACCCAGGGCTTAATACACTGAGGCCCAGAAGAGGTGGCCCAGAAGAGGTGAGCCAATACTGGGCAAGGTTTGGTCGCTTACCTGTGCGGTCTGGCTGTGACAAATGGGTTGACCAGAACAAAAGGATGGGGGAAAAAAAGTTGTGACGAGTACCGCTACCCTGCGCTGGCAGAACCACGCGAGTAGCTGTACCCAGAGGTTTGACCACTGCCTGCTTTTGCCATGAATATTTTGCTTTTCCCTGTTCCTTGACCAGACTCTTCATGCACAACTGCTGCAGCTCTCTTGCAGCCCCATGAATTCTTCAGCCCCGGGGTTCTTGCTACATGTGTCTCCCTCCCTTTCTTCAGACCAGATCTTCAGTCTTTCAGTGTGCAACAACGCCCGTTCTCTTCTCTTCTGCCCCACCTCCACTCTGAAGAGCCCCTGGCAACTACACCCCTATTCCAGACCTTACTGAGGAAAGGCACTGACAGGACAGGGCAGCACGTCCTGGACTGTGGGGTTTTCCTTGGTACAGCTGCAGGATTCAAGGTACCTGCAGGTTTGCCAAACCATTTATAGGAAGAAACCATTTGGTAACTTCAGCAAACTGCTGAGCTGCCCAAATTGCCAGTCTGGTGTTTACTGGTCGGTAAATCTTAGCAACAGGAAGAAAATCTTAAAATCCTGGTTGGTCAATAGCTCCTGTGCTGTAAGGAGATGTTACCTGGAGACAGACTGAAGAGGACACCTCTTAAGAGAGACTTCAGTCTTTCTCCAGGCAGAGCTGTATCTCAAACTCAGGGCTGGATTCCCTGGAGTTCTCCTGCACGTGTTGGACACAGACTAACAGCACGTTATCCATGGACTCGAACACAAGAGCAGGGCCCCAGAGACCATTTTCATTCTCAGCTTCATCGCTGACTTGCTGCATAACCTTGGGCAAATTCCTTCACTCTTCAGCTCCTACATCTGTAAAGTGGGTCAGGATCTTTATCCTCGTGTTTAGTCACTTCGAGTTTTGCTAATGGAAAGGTATATAAAAGCTAAGTCTTATTAAAAATTTAGTTTTCATCTGGTCTTCTTAATCCATTTTTAATGGGGCTGCCCAGCACACAGGCACGGCTGGGGTCAGAGCTATCAGGTTTGCTGCCCAAGTGAGGCAGCGGAGCGGCGGCTGCAGCACGCGATGGGCCGTACAGCGAGGCCGAGGAATGCTGATCCGAGAAATTAATAAGCAACGGCGTTTGTCACCAAACGTCAGGCACATGAAGTCAGAATGCCAAAGCCAGTTGCCTGGCAACGCCAATGGCAGGCACAGGACAGTGGGGACAATCCTTGCCATCTGGACTCTTCTGTGCAATCTATAGAGACACTCGCATCACGTGAGTAAGATCATCTGCATGCTGCTGTTTCCATAGAGACCCCAGAGGAATCGGTATTGAAAGACTCCAATTACAGAGGCAGCAAAAAAGCACCTCAAAGGCTTATTCCATTCATTTATTCCACTTCATTTTGTGCCCGAGACAGAGAGTGTGAGGCTGGAATTATGATGCTGGAGAGCTGTGCTGTGCTGAGGTCATCCAGGGTGTGTTTTTGATCCCCCTTCGTAGCCAATTTGGGGAGGTTAGGCAGGGAAGAATAACCCTGGAGCTGAAATTAATGGTGGCTGGTAACAAGCTAAGGCACATCTGAGCTCCTACAACACACAGTCTGTCTCATCTGCGCAACTACGGAGAAGGAATCGATCCTTGTTCCCAGGAGCTTTCAGGCAGAGGACCGGCCCTGTTTTGCTTAAACCCAGGCAGGGGCACTGCACAGCCATGGCCTGTTTTCCTTTGGGCTGGGGATCATGCTCTGCGTGCCTGTTATTAGGCCCCTGTACTCCCTTCCCTGTTGTTTACCAGAGCAGCACAATCCCAGTAACACCCCTGGCTCCAGCGTGCCCCCAGGCAGCCTGATGGAATGCAGGCACTTGCTGTCTGACAGTGACAATCGTGGCAGTAACTCACCGGGTCGTTCTCGCTGGTACAGAAAACTGCTCGTGGTCTCTCTGCCAGCGTTTGGACGTCCTGGCCGACAACGGAACTCAAGCAATCCTTGGCTGCTGTGTGGAGGGCATAGCCGTGGTCCAGCTACAGAAAGAAAAGGGCAAACGGACACCAAGCTTCTCAGCAGTCAAGATTACCAGCAAAAACCCAGTTAGTGCTGTGTTTTGTACGCTCACTGCATGACCGTTATGAGCGGGTCAAGGCAGCGTGCAATACAGAACACAATTCTCTGCAACTGGAAGAAAAAATTCATCATTAGAACGTAAATTCATTATGAAAACCCATGTGCTTTAGAACCACAGTTCACATTTAGAGGCCTGCTTCAAGGGCATTTCCAGTCACTTCAGGCAGCTGCCCCCCCCGAGCCACCGAGAGCGCCCAGCTCCGTACCGAGGTACCCCCTTCAGGAGTGCTTACAAGCACAAGTACGGCCTCAAGGTCTTGTTGCTGGGAAGTTCCCACAATGTTTCTGCCCACGCTGACAAACAGTAGCTGGTGCCTTGAAAATTCAGGCTGTCTAGTAATCCACAACCACCTCAGCTATTGAGGGATTAGCGCAGTGCTGCCCACTATTTGATATTTATAATTACAGTCCCTGCACTGATTTTCCTAACTGTGTCCCTGCATACAGGCTCTTTCATTAGAATACAGACGTGGCTGAGAAACCGAAACAGCCGGCTAAGCTGATTAATTCTTTTTTCCATAGGCAGACTGCTGAAGCATGCCTGTAAAGCCTAGCCAAAATAGGCAAGAAAGTGAGAAGGACAAGCATTTTATTATGTTACGGTGAAAGGAAATACAAGCATTTGTCAATGAGTAAGAGTCTGCTGCAAACAGAGGCTGTGGCCACAGCCAGCAAAACTGAAAGCCACCCTTGGTGTTACTGACTGGGACAGTTGCAGGCTCCAACTGTAAACAGAGCGAGTAGTTTCCTATTTTGTCTGTCTGTGCAGAGGAGAGCAGCCATAATCTAAAGTTCAGAGACAGGAACAGCTGCTTCAGTTCTCCGCGGCACATGCAGTTCTGCTGCCATCCCAGCTTTCCTCAGAGGGTCATCTGGAAGCCACAGGGGCTCAGGAGGAAGTGTCCCGTGGGATTACCCCACATCCCGTGTTCAACGCGCCACGGGGCCTGCAGCAGCATTTCAGCGCTCGCTCTCCTTTTAGGGAAGGAATCAAACCTGCTTGTACTCGGCACTAGACGCCATAGCCCCAACTGCTGCAGTGTAAACATGGGAGAGCCCTAAACATTCCTTTTTGGCATCCCATTCGCTTGTTCCCGTAATGTTCTTTTCCTCCGCAAATCCAAGCGATCAGTTAGGATGTCTGACTTGGCTATGGTTAGTTGTAAGTGCACAGAAGTGACTTAATTTACAGCCAAGGGTAAGGCACCAGGATGCCAGTTTAACACTCGACTAACTAGAGCATGCAGCTATTGCCACCTGTTCACCTAGGAAATGTCAGCCCCAAGTCGCTGCTATGGAATCAGCGTCCTTCTCATTTCCTTTGAACACCCCACATTCCCTCCTTCTGAAGTCTCAAGCAAACGCCTGGGGGCTGTGAGCTTTGCTCACTTAAAAGAAAAGGCAAGTTGCTGCTCCGTGGACGTCCTTTCTCTGGAGCGCCATCCAAATCCTCATCCCTGACCTGTGTGACAGTGAATGAAAGTTAAGCAAGGACTAACTTCTTGCTCTGTGTTCAGTTTTCATGTGTGTCTAGACACAGCTCAAGACTTCAGCTGAAGGATACTTAGCCAAACCAATACCACCTTTCTAAAAGCACAACCTCAGAAGATCAGCAGGAGCTGGATTCTCTCTGGTACAAAAGGCAGTTCCTGGTAAGTTCTACGAAGGGAGCAGGAGACAGCACAGTAAGATGGGACGCAAGTGTGAGAAGGACTTTGTCTTGAAGTCCAGTCCTCTGTTCTTGCAGCCAAGCACAAAGAATTTCTCTTTTTCCATCAACAGAACACATCCCATCTTTAAATGACTACATCTTTCTCCTGGAAGGATGCTGTTTCAGAACATCACTGCCTTGAGCCTTAGCATGATACGTCCTCCTCAAAATCACCACGTACCCTCGCAGTGCTTTGGAACGTCTCCTTTGTGGACGGCAGCTTGCGCTGGGCTACAGAAGCAGCTTCTCAGCTGGAGACACGAAATCCTTCCTAACTCTCTAAAGCGCCCCAAAATCAACACAGGCTCCTAGAGCAACAGCACTACTCACAGTCATCCTGAACTTGAGAGATACAGACTTGCATTTTATGAATTACTACACAATTCGGGCAGAAGCGCATCTGCATTTTTAGCAGCCTACAAGAACACCTAGAGTGCCCTGGAGCACCACTGCCCGCATGGTGTAGTCTGACTTCGTAGCAGCGACATGCCACTTGGGCCCTCCTCCTGGCTAAAAGACGGTGGCTTATCCCTGATCCCCTTGGCTTCCTGCAGAATGCCAGAAACCCCCCTACACCTGCCGGGCTCACCGCAGAGCTCTGCGCAGGAACTAACACGTACGCGAGGCTCTCGCGTTCTCGCATCATCCCTTCAGGCAGTTTACCCCAGCAGCACACAGGGGACGTTACAGCGAGTTTCCATCTGCCAAAGGACGGAGCGGGCTGACTCGGATCCCTGAAATGGCAGCAAACTGTCACGTGGTACGTGAAGATTAATCACAAAGTCATGTGCCATAAGGTGGAGCTGTTCCTACACGCTTCCACAGATCTTAGTCTCTAGAAAAGCCTGTTTATCTCATAAAGGCTGCCGTCACCAGCGCAGGACTGTACAACCAGAATCTCATCTCTGGAAAGCAGCAGTTACACAGTCATCCTCTGTAGTGGCTGCGTGTCCCTGTGTGCCAGTGAAAAAGCATTCCAAAGACAACAGCACACAAACCAACTGAGATTCCTTGCCGTTTGGGTCATTCCAGACAGGCAGCGTTAACTCGTTGGGCTGTTATGACATCAGGATGCTTCCCTGATAACGCAGTGCTGCTGGGGCGCTGGGGCAGAGCCAGGGTGACTACGCCCACCAGAAGCACTGAGCCATTTTTGGCAAAATCCTCTTCCCACCAGCAACAGGGGCTTTGTGAAAGGCTGGTGGGTCTGTTCGCTAGAAAGGGCTCCTTCTCTTGTGCTTTCCAGCAGTGCAGAGCAAGTAGATTCTCTGTTTTCTGAGAAAAACTTGCACTGAAGCCGCAGAATTTCAGCATTCAGAGTGCTGAACTTCAGACTTCTAACAAATGTCTCCTTTAAGCCAACTATCCAGGCCTGCTTGCACATCCTCTCTCTCCCCAGCCAGAGGGAGATGTAGAAGGAGTAACACCCACAGGCTGTCTCTCGCTTTCCTTTGTCCCTAACGGGAGTTTACACAACCAGCTTACAGGAGGCACCAAGTTTGCAGATGACAAAGGTAAGAAGAATCTTTTTACAGGTGTAAATTGTCACCCAGTTCACAAGACAGGCAAAGTATCGGAAGCAGCATCAGGCTGTTACGGGACTTACCTTTAGAGGATGGCAGACAAGTCCTTTCAGACTTCTCAGCATTTTCTGCAGAGACAGAAGTGGATTTTTTAGTGTTTTTATTATGTTTAATGTATCTTACGCCGGGAGAGCATCGTTCCTGCCCAAAAAGCTTAAAGTCTGGGCACACCAATAATGCAGACAAACTGTCAGAATGCTCTGCAGCAATGCAGTGGACTACTCGTAATCAGCATCATTTGCCTAATTAATAAAAAAGAAAAAAGTTCCTTAATTATGTTGCCTTTTTTCAGAGAGATGTTTACAAAACCAAGTTACTTTATAAGTAGAGATATTTCATCCACCTAGTGAGGAGAACATCTGTTCTGACTGCAGCTGTTAAGAGATGTTGGCACAAGGGCTACACAAGTGCTTGTTTTGAAGAAACTGGAATAATGCAGAGACTGAAGATCCTTCTGTGTTTCTGGCTTCATCCTAACTGTACATTAGTATCTACTGCTCAGCCACCTTTGATTCCAACAGGAAAAAAACCCAAACAAACCCCTTGAGCAATCGTGATGCAAAAACGAAGGCAAAAGGTAAGTAAATTGGTTAAATCTGTCATCTCTGCCAGCACTCCAGGCCTCCTTCATATCATTCCTTAGGAGAAAACAATCACAATGCCTAACAAAGATGCTTCAAGAACTCTTGGTTGCCATAAGTTACACGGTGCAATCAAAGCGAGCTAATTACCTTGTCTTAATGGGATCGGTGGTTAACTGCAGCGTTCCTGCTAAGCGAGACAAAGACGATAACTGCACCGAATGGCCTTTACAACGGTTACTGCATAGAATGAAGAAAAAAAATCCACAGTGAAGGACGTTAATTTTGTAAAAATGCTTCACAGTCTTTCATCTAACAATCAATGCACGATACAGACCTGGAAAACAAGCCCCAGTTTTGCTGTTTCAAGAAGAAGTGATGATATCAGCCTGCGGAGGCTTTTTTAGTCACTTGACAGGGCTGTGCACATACAGCAGAAAAGGAGAAATTCCGTGCTGCAGGACAGTGTATCCCATTTGTTTCAAATCAGAGCTTTAACAGTAAATAAAGTAAGGAAGGGAAAGCTGTTTTCTCAAACACAATTAGCAAAGAAGTCACAAAACCCTGGAAATTTCTGTTTATTTGGGGCATCCCTAATATTCGACAGGACTCTTGAATGACTATTGTAACACACAGGGTGTAAGGGCTCTTCTCTGGGCATCATCTGTCCGTGGGAGAGGAGCTTCAGCAGAAGAGTGGATTAAAAACTGCTGCCACTTCACTGACTTGTACCTGGATCAAGTTAAAGAAGTGTCCGACTGGGCACACTCTCCACTGCAGAAAAACCACTGGTCTGCTTGTGGCCTTTAGGAAAGGGTTTATAGGTGGGGAATATAATTTGCTAGTAAACATCACACACAGGACCCTGAAAGTTGTATTTGCAGACATCATTAAGGAACCCCATCGCAGAGTAAATTAAACACAAGTTTGCTGTCGCTTGCTGTCTCTACATTTACCGCCAGCTTCAGGAACCCGGAGCTAAGCACCGCGAACACGGGTGCAGGAGGCAGAAACACGGCTGAGCGAACCGGGGCGCCGTCGCCTTGGGCCGGGCGATGCCACTGCTGCCTCGGGGACCTGTCCCCCCGCGCCTTCGCCCCAGTTTGTCTCCGCTCCAGTTTGCCTCCGCCCCAGTTTGCCTCCCCACGTGCTCCCCCCCGCGCTCCCCCGGTCTCTTTCTGTAGATACACATGGGACGGAGATAACAAAGAGCCACGAAATCCCTCCTTCACCCTCACCTGGAGGCCGCTACAGACAACCGGGAAAGC